GTGTGCATCAATTCAAGTGCTGCTGAGATGTTTATTTACCATTCCAACACCTGACAATTGCAATCAGCATCAACAGAGTCATTCACTCTCTGTCGAGAGCATCACTATAATATTCCTTTTACTTCCAGCACTTCTCGAGTCAATGGAGTTATTTGGGGGTGTGTTTTGCTTAAACTTCCTCGCATTTTGACACACTAAAAACTTTCCTTTATGGAATATGTCGCAATCACGGGGGAAAATTGTGTGAAAATTTTAGGGACAGTATTTCCCTTTCCTCCCTTTCTGTCTGTGGGGGTGAATAAAATTTTTATGAGTGCCTGTAATGTTACCCCAAAAAAGGCGACAACAATTTTTCCTCCCGGTGTGACTCAGTTACTTTATATTCACGTTAAATTACTCATACAGCACATTGAGGCGATAAGGGAGAGTTGGAATTGTGTATGCACGCATAGGATAGGAAATCGTTGTTGTTCCAGTGCTACGCAAACAATATACCGCTTAATTGTTAAAAGATAAAATCAAACAAGCTCCCCAGATTTCACCTGGTGCTCTCAAATTGTCGAGAAACGATTCGTGTTGCTCGTGGAATGTGCTAGATTTTATACCATTTCGCCTGGGTGGGGGGTGTTTTCGTGACGAGGGGATGGGGAGGGACATCCCTAAGTTGGTCCCATGTGTGATGAGTTGTGTGTGTGTGGGGAAATCCAAAGTTTCCAGTTTGAAAATTAATTTTCTTGTTTATTTCACAACTCATTTAGAAGATGGATGGGGGTGTGGAACATTATTTACATTCTCAAAGGCATCCCTCAGATATGTGTATTTGCTTCTCACACAGTATTTTCGCAAAAGATTATGTGTATATAGCTTTGGGTTGCTCGGAAAACACGCGACACACGCGGACTTTTTTTTTATATATATAATATTTCTCATGCGAAATTCATGAAAATTACGTCAAAACTTTCATTTTAATTTAATACCATGGCCTCAGATGATAACACTTGAGGCTATTCTTAGTCCTAATTCTCTGTTTTTCACTCTCAAAACTTTTCACACCTCCTAACAATGTTTTCTGCGCAGCGCGACAAAACTGTGTCTTTGAGATTTATTGCAAATATCAAAAGAATTGCTACAATTTTAATGGGGAAAATAATTTAAATTTGAATATTATCAGGCAAAGTTTGAATATTTTCCGGATATTTCATTACAAAATTAAATATTTGATTATTTTCTCCACATATCGCCGCCAGAGGTCAGTAAAATCGGCATGAGGGACGCTAATCTCCTCGCATTTTTTGCATAATTTTCTCTCTTTTTACGCATTTTCACACTTTATGACTTCCTCACGTGATCCTGGTTAGGATAAGAGGAATTTTGAGTGCAAGAATGAAGCTTTTCGCTTAGAAGAAGCCAAGTTTCATCATCAGCTAATCAGCTGATCAAGTTTGACAGTCAGGAAGAAGTTCCGATTGTATTTCCCAAAGGCGAAATTTTGGCAAATTTGTGACTTTTTCCTTATTTTTGCCAAAGTTGATATACAAAATTTGAATAAAAATCACAAATGCACCAACATTATGCAAAATGCCTTTCATTTGCTCTTGAAATATATGCTGTGAAATCGTTGTAGCAACATTTTATGATACACTTTCGTGATGGAGAATCTCACACAACAACACTAAAAACTCATGACTGGGGTAATTAAAGTTTTCTACTTCCGGAAGGGAGGTTTATATATATATGAATTGTAATGTCATATGTGGCGCCATTACTCAACCATTCACGATTCATGCAAATTGCATTAATGATGTTATCTGTAATTAAATTTATGTGACTTGCTATCTATCTGATTTCACCCACAAAACCTTCTTCCTCGCTTCATTCTGAATTTTTTGGCACTCATCTCTCGTCCCGAACACATCATTCAAGAGAGGCGCTTTCCCGCCCTCCGTCCCGAGAGAGGACGGTGGAAATGAGGACGAAGATGAGGAGCAGGAAAGACAAGAGCAATGACAATTAAAATGATGACTGGGGAATATTGTGGAAAAAAATTGAGTCATTTCAACTTTTTTCTCTCTCTCAAGAGTTTCATTATTTCAATGGTGAAACAATTACAACCATAAGAAAGCGCCCAATTTTGTCGTCTCTTCCACCTGGAAAGTGGCCAACATTCTTGGCCATGAGCGCATTTCTACAAATTTCTTACATCCCTTTTTCCCGTTCCCACCCATAGAAAATGACAAAAACCATTTCCAGCGTCAAAGTCCAACAATTGCTCGCTGGAGAAAGGTTAAATAGAGGTGAATTTATGGAGTGTCTGGCAAATTTCTTGCTGCAGAAAAGCTCTCTCTCTCTCTCAAGTCTGAAGAATCTCCATTCAACATTGGCCAAATGTGACATGCCATAACTTTGGCATTTTGCTGCAGCAACAATATAAGATATATTGCGACTTCTATGGCACTATTTTATGAGTTAAAGCAGAGAAAAAGCTCCATCGCACTTGCATGACATGATGTTACTATATGCCATACGCTTCTGTTTTTTTTACTGCAAAATAATCTTCCTTTCATTGCAAAAGTGAATATCCTGAATAAGTGAAAAATTGCGCACAGAGTCTGACTCGTCACGAGTGAAACTCGGGAAATTTGTGTGGTTGACAGTGCAAAAAAGCGCTTTGCATGATATATTGTGTTGTTAGCAGCATTTTAATCATCAAATCCACTGCTCAGCATCTGAAATAGTGTCAAGCAAGTCAGAACTGTGATTATTTGCAGTTTAGTTCTGCGCGACAATCTGCCACAGTGTAAAAGCTTTTCTGAACTTTATTAATCGAAGAATCGGGACTCTTTGTGCATTCACTAGTTGGAAAATTCAATGCATTTTGACGCTATTTGCACGGAAAAAGGAACACAATGTTAGTTTGTAAGTACATAGATGGAGTGTGACACTTGAGTCGCCTGAAATTTCAACTAATTGTATCACTTTGTTGCGTAATTCTGCTCGTGCGATGAAAAGGGAGAATTTCACGATTAAATTAAGTCTGCACTTCAGTGCATTCTCTAAGTTGTTTCCAAGAAAATTCCAACACACCTTGCAAAAGGGTGCGGCTGGGATAATCTCAATGGATCACGTGTATTAAGCTTTTCACGTGAGCTTTTCATTCCTCCTGATCATGTTTTTGTTGTCTTACTTAGGCATTCCCTTATAGCAAGATAGGATATAACTTTTGGGGGAAAAACTTCACGTATTTGCAACATGCATTCCAATTTTGGAAAATTTACCCTCTCTGGGGTTGATGTTGAACACTCTCCAGAGAGATAGGGGAAAAACCACCGACAAAGTCTAGCAAGAAGTGTGTGAAAATTGAGAAGTTACTCAATCTGTTGCGAGTAGCATGTCGAGAGCTTGTTATGTGCTTGACCAGGAGAGCTTTGTATGTTCATCACGGCATGACCAGCGGGTGCACTTCCCTCATTGCTGCATGCGCCGTTTGTTTTGGTCAAAACAACTTCACAACTATTTCACATAACATACAATTTTCATATGAACATCACTTGAGGTAATGGTTGGAGTGTAAATTTGAGTAAATCACGACATCACGAGCTTTCCCACATGACACAGTTTTCCTGTACTGAGAGAAAAATCGGGCAGAAATTAAGGAATTGAACTGCTCGAAACACTTTTTCTGTTTTGGGTCGGATTAAGATTGCAGTTTGGTCTTAGACAAGACACGTGGCGCCGTGAAATGTCGGATTTTGATCGTAAAGATCTATGAGAATCAATAGGTTCTCACTCCGAAATCGACTTGATTTTTTTTTGACATTAATTGAAAAGGTGAAAATCTTAAATTTATGACTATTTAAGCTTATGACTGTGGAATTTTTCTCAAGAATACATAATTTTTCCGAGTGTGGGCATTAATGTGGCGCTGGCGAGTGCATGTTTGAAGCGGTGGAAAGGTTTGCCAATCCTCTTCAATCCACTCTCAATTAGGGTAATTATCTGCTCCAGTGCATTGTACGGAGTGTATTTTTCCTTCTGTACTTGATGACCTGTAAATGATATTTATTGTGTAGCCATTGTGCTCCATCTCGGGCCAAATGGTGCGAATTCGAGGTGCACGTGTGTGCGTGTGTGTCGTGGAAATGGGGAGGAAATGTTCAGCTCGCACAGTCTTTTTCTCATGATGGAGGTGAGTGAGGTCATTATTCACATTTCCGGATTCCGGTTTGCCATTCATCCATCAATAGCGAGGCCCCTTGGCTGAGGTATGGAACGGAGAGGTGCCAAGATTAAATGTCTATCAAATCAAACACCCAAGGATGTGTCTCCTGACACGAGTGCGATGGAGCGTCTTGGGCTGAACAAGGCACCCGGATTTATTTGGAGAGGTGTACAAGATTGGCAATTCCGTGACATGAGCCTTCACGCCTTCCCTCCTTATCTATTGAATCTATCACGTCACAAGTGGAGGAGGGTCTCTTCGATATCCAGAAAAATGCGGGCAATTTTTATTGAGCTTTTGTCCACTGTTTGCTACCTTTATTTGCGGGGAGAATTTCCCAGGGCAAAAAAAGCCCACAAATTGGAGATGATGAGAAACACATTAGCATTATTTTTCATAGTTTGTGTCTGACAGAAAACACAGTGAGAAAGTCGCAAATGTGGTGAAAGTTTAATTGCAATTTCATTGCCAAACACACACAAAGTCTTTCTCATCTAATTAAGCTTCTTTCGTAGCCGCGAGAAGAGCTTTTTTTGGGTGTGGAATTGAGAAAGCTTGAAGGGATAAATGCAAATTGTATGTGGTTTCCACTTCATCTCAGTCACTTGGTGACGCTTTCATCCCTTCTATTGTGGCAATTAGTGTCAAAGAAAGCTGCGGACGAAATGCGACAGAAGCGAGAGAGCTTTCAACTGCGAATAGCGGAGCCATATATGCAGATTTTATTGATATAGTTGGAGAAAAGTTGGCAAATGCGTCTATATTTCACTCTGTTTTGCAGTCGATTTTAATTATTGGACTCATGAATATGAATGGCTGTGCGGCGATGATCTTCAACAAGTCCCTGATAAATGGCCTGGACTTCCTCAGCAACTTGCAGAATTTATTCAATGCCACCCCATCTGCACGTCTCATTGGCGTCACTGCCAGGGGGGGTGTGAAATTAAATTACTTTCTCTGCGATAATCCCAGCATAAACAAAAACCACAAAGGGAGTGGCGAAGGGAAAAAGCGCACTGTAATTACGGAATATCTCTGGACAATCAATGTCGAGGGAGCTTTCAGCGTGTCGGATGTGAGTCGCCGTCAGACTGTGGCTACAGAGGAATTTTCCAATTTCATTCTGCAGCGCTTATTGTGGCAAGAAAAATGGGAGATGCGGTCGTGGCGGACTTCCTGACTATTTGTTCGGCGTTGTTGGCACGGTTTTAATTGTGCTCTCACTTGTCTTATGCGCCAATCGCCTTTGCCACGTCCCACAAAGTCACCCAAGGTAGAATCTCGCCTCCTTTTCATGCCTACTAAAGCAACCGTGAGCCATAAAACAGCAACGAAGAGTACTCAAATACCCGGCGTCTCCATCACACTCTTGACCAACTTTCATATTTATCGCTGTATTTATTGTATTTGTGCCACTTTTCCCCACTTCCCACCCCCTCCCCCCCACTTTGGTGTTGTTCTGCAAACTCCGTATTTATTCTTTGGTGGGTTTGAGGGGGAGGGACGTTAGGGGGGTGGTATCATGAGCTTTCAGTGTGGGAATAATAGAAAAACAGAGAGAATGATGGAAGAAGCACGCAAGGAAAGTTCCATTTGAAAAGGCAGGCAATCGAGGCAGTGGATGAAAAACACTTCCGACCAGAATTACCTGGGAAAGTTGAATTTGATGTGTGTATTTTTCCCACTGACAATCGGGCCACTTTCTCGCCGTTGAGCTTTTCCACGCCAAATTTGCTCATTTATTTGCACGACAAAAGCGCGGACAAAAGGTGTGGAAAATCAATGGGAAATGTCTTACTCGTCCTCTCGCTTCAGGGATGACGCATCGCTCAGTGTTATGAGTTATCAGCAATATGTTTAGTAACAATTAGCTGTATTCACTGTTACGAGCCGTCGACACGCCAATGTCTCATTGAATTCGCCTTGAAAGGAGGCAATCAGGAGGGCAATAAAAAGAAAACAAATGCTCACAACTGTGAGGACCTTTCTTCGCATTCTATTCACGCTATTGAATGATTACATATATTGTGTCTGCAGATGTGCCAAGCGACGTATCAATTAAATTTGCCGAGGGAGGAGAAAATGATCTATGAGATATCGTGAATTAAAATACTTTGTCATACTTTAGGCAATTAGAACCATTCCTAACGAAGCTGCCAGCAAATATATTACAGCCTCTCTCTCTCTGCGTCAAAGGTAAAAGTTAAACTTTAGCGCACCGAGCGAAATTGATGGTAATTCTCTACTACTTCAGCCTGAAGTTTATATCTGATTTTAATTGTCAATGCCTTTCACCGTATCGTATGAGTTATATTGAATAATTTATCAATTATTTCCACGCTTATCGCAAGTATCATTAATAAAACATTATAGGTGGAAAGCAAAAGGTATCTTTTGAGCTTGTATACGTTGGGGTTTTTACGCTGAGTTATTTCCTTCAGAAGCTCTCTTTCAAACATCATAAATTGTTTGTAAGCAGAAGAGGGAAAATTACACCTAATTTATGATACTTGACCTGGGCTATTCAGCCAACAACTTCTTGTTGTATTCCGTCGGGACGAAAGTTTATGCGAATATGCAGACGCAGAAGAATTATTTCGCAGCACCGCCAAAGTGTATCTCGTTTGTCGTCCTCTGAGATTATACAATTGAAAATTGAATTTTTAATTACGCAATATGTATAGAACAATTTTCCCCATCAGCGGCGCAAACAGAGAGCTCAAAAAGCTCTGTTCCATGCAAAATAGCAGCAAGACCACGCACAACTCAAAGCTCATTAGGTAACGGCGACTATTTTTGTCGATGTTCGAAGCTCTTTTATGCATTCAGCTGAAAAATAAAAAAAAATGTTTCTTTTTCACTCCGGATGGCGCGAGATGGGCAAAAAATATGGCGACGAGAGAAAAGCGCACAAAATGAAAATATTTATGCTTTTCCACCCAAGTTGATATACGTGGAATTAATTCACCGCTTTTTCTGCCCTTCGAACTCTTGTCAAGGCGCGTGTTTATGAGTTGGAAAGAGAGTCTTAGTGGCATGAAAGAAAATAAATGTCGTTACAACAAACACCTCACAGGGAAAATTGAATACGTGTGCAAAAAGAGTTCTCCCTTCATTTCGCCATCGCTATATGCGCGTCTTTGCCCAGCAAAGCCGAACACTTGCACTTCAAAATGGGGTGGATTTTCCAACCCAGAGGGAGAAATTTTCCCAGAGCTTTTTGCACTCTTTATGGAGTTCCTCTCGCGCACACAGCAATTTGAGTGCCCTGGCAAAAGCGCTCCGCGCGTCTCGCCAAACTATAAGCTGATGGTGTGTATAAAGGCGCTGTGGCAGCCCTTTGGAATTTTGATGAGGGGAAATTTATTTAATTTATTTCCCTTATGAATGGCACTACATCTACATAACAATAACAAATTTTTGACGAAATTGCGCGCGTCTTTCCGCCCAAGATATGCGGAAGACATGGGTGGCCGCCGGGGGTGTGTGTGTGTGTGGACGCAGCCTCTCGACCGCAATGTGCAGAGAAGCTCCGCCACCCACTCCACACTGCGACAGAATACCGTCAGCGGGAAATTTATGAATGAGCCCCACCCCCCCATCAACCCCCGAAAGCACTCTTGCACGGGGCGGAAAAAAGCGCGTGCTAGGAAAGTTTTTTTCTCCGTACATCGCCATATACTTGCGTTCTTGTGATTATTTCCATCCGCCGATATGTGGGGGGGCTGAAGGCGCTTGGTGAAAGTTTCATCCCTCGTCGGTGAAGAGGATGCTGTGCTAAATGGATATTGAGCATATTTCAGCGCGGCGGAAATTGATAGGAGAACTTTTCATCAATATCACACTTTTTGCATGACATCAAAACCAAATAACACACCATAAGCAACGCTCTTCACCCCCACTTCGGCGGCACGGAAACTTTTCCCCTTGTTTCTGATTTATTAAATAAACTTTCAGCGCACACACACACGATTTTTTTCCTTCAGCGCTATTTATAGGATTGAGGTCTTAATGCGGTGTGGAATTGAAATAATAATGCATTTAAGACGACGCGTGACTCGAAAACTATCATAAGACCTCTTATGATTTCCATTTTGATGTCTTCCACCACTAAATTGTCGGTACATCGCCAAGAAATGTAACAAATCGGATTTTCCTTGAAAATCAAGTGAAATAAAAAGTCGATATTTGATAGTTTTGCCGCACTTTTCGTTTTAGCAAGTATTAAAAGTTGATATTTGATAGAATTTAAGGTGAAATATTAGATTTACTGGATATTTTTGTGTTTAGCGTGATGAAAATCGCAACTTGGTCTCTTAACAAGACACGCGGCGCTGCAAAATGTCAGAAGATAGGAAGAAAATATCAGTAGTTTTGCTCATACTGATGAGTGTAATTAAAATTCGTCTGTCAATTCTCCATATGATAGAATTATAGAACATAATAATTAAAGTTGAGCAATATAATCAATTTAATTGCTACTGATTTTGACTTATGTATGATTTAAACCGCACACTTTGGGTGAGTTCATTATGTGTAGATTGTGCTTCTGAGATATTCAATTGCAACCAGAAATCAATGGTAAACAATTCGTGAGAGTGTTTCACACAGAGATAATCCAAAATTAATTCCCCACTGCAAATTGTCAGTTGAAACCACATTATATGAGTTAATGTGACACGCAGCATTGGCTGTTTTATGGCAATACACAGGATCTTCGCAATTGAATGCGAAGGTGGCAACAAAGCCGCAGCACTGGGTAGTTTATTTTGTGGGCAAAATCACGATTAATGGGTGGTAGCATTTGCTGCGGGGTCTGAAAATATCCAGCTGAGGTGAATTAAATTGGCCAAATTGCGACATCACCGGAAAGCATCTCCGCCAGTTCAATATAAGCATGGAATTGTTATTAATATGTGGCACCGCGCAAATTCACCCCCCGCCCTTTTTCCACCCCCGCACACTGTGGAAAAAGTGTACAGCAGGTGATTTATTAGCAATAACTTAATCCTCCCGCCTCGGATCCCGAAGAGGCGCTGCATTAAGCATCTCAGCCACTCTTGCTGACTCGTCCTCTGGTTATCGCTTCCTGCGCTGGGGGAGAGGAAATCTTCTGAGATACACACGCAGAGTTGATGTCCTTCCAGATGATATATTTTCTCCTCTCGCCGCGCACTTTGGGAGGTATCAAACCCGGGCTATTAGTCTTGATCGCAATCTAGGCTATCTAGGGCATTTTTCGATCCGCACTCCGTGCGAAATATAAAACTGAGAGTATAAGAGTCAACAGCATTACAAATTATCCTGGATGCCGAGAGGGATACGAGCGAGAGTGAGAGAGGGTGGATTTCGGGAGGGGTGTTTTAGATATTCCCACGAGCTTTCTGCCAGTCAGCAGAGTAATTTATGTGTATGGATGGGCGGATGAGGGTGCAAAACAATCGACCACCCTCGGCATCGATTGATTGTGGCCAGAATGGAGCTGTAAAAGTCCAAAAGCTCCACGCCACAGCGTGTTTCTTCCATTTACTTCATTTTACATTTGTGAAACCCTTTCGAATTGAGTGGGTGGATATTTGATAGGTGAACCACCCCCAAACCATCCAAGCTACATGCTCACCTTTCGCCTCCGTCGTTTGGCTTTACACTCGTCAGCTGTTTCTCAGAAGGGCTTTCACTGGGGGAGGTGGGAAAAAGCCCCAGTGGAGTGTGAAGAACTTCCAACGTGGCTTTTGCGGTTCTATTTTGGTCATATTGCCTTCCTTCGCATGCACGTATGGTGAGACATCATTCAAACACTCGTAATCCACTTAAGTTGCTCCCTCACTTTCCGGGTTTTGATGCGAAAGGGGGGTGGAAAAAGCTCGAAAGCTCCACTCGAGTGACATGCAATCACCATTGCTGCCCGCCATCCAATGAAGAATGTGGCCCGATTAATTGCCCAAAGACGGGATACAGAAGGAGATTTGAATGGGAAAAAAAGAGTGGAAAACCAAAATGATTTAATTCCCCCGAGACAGAGACAAATTTCTCACAATTTCTGTTGCCATGTCATTTACCCTGGGATATCAAGGG